CCGAACTTGATCGAATGCTAAGTTTGGGAGTGATTGAGGAAAGTAACAGTAGCTGGAGCTCCCCAGTCACCTTGGTGCAGAAAGGCACGAAAAACCGTCTTTGCTTAGATGCCCGCAAAGTAAATTCCCGGACTGTAAAAGATGCGTATCCCTTACCACACATTGAGGGCTTATTGAGTCGGCTGCAAGAAACATATTATATTTCGGCAATCGATTTGAAAGACGCCTTCTGGCAAATACCCTTAGAAGCCAAGAGCAGGGAGAAGACAGCTTTTACCGTGCCAGGTCGGCCGTTGTATCAGTTTACGGTTATGCCGTTTGGCTTATGCAATGCAGCACAGAGAATGTGCCGACTAATGGACAAAGTTATTCCAGCTGCACTTCGGGAGAATGTATTTGTATATCTCGACGATCTGCTGGTATGCTCACCTACGTTCGAGGAACATTTAAATATGTTGCGGCAGGTCAGTGACTGCTTAAGAAGGGCAAAGCTGACGATTAACGTGGATAAAAGTAAATTCTGCTACAGCCAAGCTAAATATCTAGGGTATATTGTAGGCGGAGGTTGCATAAAAACAGACCAGACAAAAATACAGGCGATTCAAGAGTTTCCGCAGCCCACTTCCGCCAAGCAAATGCGGAGATTTTTGGGTATGACAGGATGGTATCGGCGTTTTATTCAGAATTACTCACAAACGGCGGCGCCGCTCCATGAGAGTCTAAAAAAAGATCGGATTAAGAAATATGAACTTGACCAAGAAGGAGTGAAAGCATTTGAGGCTCTGAAAACCAGCATGGTTTCCGCGCCAGTACTTATAACCCCGAATTTCTCCAAACCGTTCACAATTCCATGCGACGCATCCACAACGGGAGTAGGAGGCGTGTTATTTCAAACCGACGAGGACGGCGGAGAGCATCCAATCGCATATATGTCTGCAAAGTTGAATAAAGCTCAGCGGAACTATTCCATTACGGAACTGGAGTGTTATGCTGCGATTTTAAGTATTAGTAAATTCCGACCATATGTGGAAGGCATGCCTTTTAAAGTAATCACGGATCATGCTAGTTTAAAGTGGCTCATGGGACAAAAAGATTTGTCAGGAAGACTGGCAAGGTGGAGTTTAAAATTGCAAGCTTTTGATTTCCAGATTGAGCATAGGAAAGGGGCACTGAACGTAGTCCCCGACGCGCTCTCCAGAACACATATGGACGAGATAGCTACAGAAGACCCAGCAGAAATCCAAGTGGATCTAAAGGCGGACGCATTCCAGTCAAAAGAGTACCGAGAGCTGGTTCTGGCAGTGGAGAGGCACGCAGAAAAGACACCAGACATTCAGGTTTCTGAAGGCTATGTGTACAAGCGATTAGGCTTCCGGTCGGGAGAAGTAATTAACGAAGACCGAGCTTGGAAACTGTGGGTTCCGCTAGAGCTTAGGCAGGAGATCGCCTTTCAAGCTCATCACGGCAAGACGGCAGGTCATGGAGGGATCCACAAAACACTGGAAAGAATTCGACAGTTTTATTACTGGCCCGGCATGACAGTCAGCGTACAAGAAGTAATAAAGAATTCTGAAGTATGCAAAGTCAGCAAAACCGCCAACAAAACGAACCGACCCCCAATGGTCAAACATATCGTAACAGAACGCCCTGGGCAAAGATTATATATTGATTTCATGGGGCCATACCCCAGAACAAAATCTGGAAACACCGTAATCTTTGTATGTCTAGATCATTTTACTAAGTTCGTTTGGTTAGAACCAATGCGGAAAGCCACCGCTGGAGGAGTCGTCAGCTTTCTGGAGAAGTCAATTTTTCATCAGTTTGGAGTGCCAGAGTTTATACACTCCGATAACGGCAAGCAGTTCGTCTCTCAGGTATTCGCAGAACTGCTCGAGCAACATGGAATTCGACACATACGAACTGGCTTCTATGCTCCACAAGCTAATGCAGCTGAAAGGGTAAACCGATCCATATTGCAAATGCTCCGCGCAACGACTGAGAAAGACCAGCGGAATTGGGACTCCCACTTAAGTCGAATAGCGTGTACTCTAAGAAGTGGCTATCATGAAGCGTTGGGATTGGAACCATACTATGCGATGTTTGGGACACGGATGGTCACGCACGCCAGTGCGTATGCGATAATGAGACGACTTGGCGGGGTCTCAGCAACCGATCAAGTAGTGTGCTTAGCGGACAAGATGGAGTTAACCCGAGATCGAGTGAATAAAGGTTTAGTCCGTGCACACGAGATAGCGGAAAGGACATATAATACCCGCAGCAGAGAAGTTGAGTTTGCAGTGGGACAAGTGGTATACCGAAAAAACTACCGGCAAAGTAACCGAGCGGAAGGGTATAATGCAAAGTTAGGGCCAAACCGAGTTCGGTGTGTCATACTTAAACGACAAGGGAATTCGTTGTATGAATTAGGCAACGGAGTTGGCAAAAGTATCGGGGTATATCACGCCAAAGACTTATTCATCGTCTGACAACCGGGCAGAACCAGCAAGAACGGCAAAGAGAGCAGATATGGATCCAAGGCAAAAGGAAATTCAGGAGATAAGAAGACGCCTGACGGACCAGGCGAGAGAGTGGAGGGATCAAGGACAGCCTTACCCAAACCAGGATTTTGCCAACGAGTTGGCAGAAGCCCTGCGCACCGAAGCGGCGAGCTTAGAGTGGGAGGAGGTGGAGTTGATGAACGCATTCCGGATCAACGACGTGTTGCTCGAGAGACTCTTGGCGAGACCGGAGCCAAATCTGACTTATCTCAAGATCTGGTCGGAGATTCAGGAGCAGGACCTGCTGCACTGGCAGGAGTGGGACGAGACCCACCGGCAGATAAAGGATGAGGCTGAACGGGACGCGGCCGTATTCGACGGTTTGTTCCGTGAGCCTGTGTTCCCGAACTTCGCCGTCACCAGGCGGAGAAGCATCGACCGGGGAATGGTCTTGTACCGGACGGCGAAGCGGCAGCGGGAGCAAGCTGAACGGGAAGCTGAGGAACCCCTCTGGCCGGAATTCGGGTTAAGACGGCGATATTCCGCTTTGTATTAAATTTTAATACGTACATACAGAAACAAACAAAAAAAAAAAAATTTTAATAAATAAAGTAAAATAAAATATCCAAAAAAAAAAAAAACAATAGTCCAGTTTTTTTCACAATCTTATTCACAAGAAAAAAAAAAATATAGCCTGGCTAGCTTAGTCAATAGAGCACGAGACTCTCAGGGTATGGGTCGAGGCCACACGTTGGGCTGGACTCACGCACATGGAAAAGAGAAAACACCCTGTAACCGCTTGTCGTAGGATCCTTTTTGCGAGGTCGTTCCATACGGAATCCGCATCGACGACATCGAGCCTGTTACGAGCGCCGGTTATGGCGGGAAGCGAGGCAAAAAGGGGGACAGCAGAAGCCACAGTCTCTTAAGTTGCGAAAGAAGAAAGAAAGACCAGCTTTGCACAATGCAATATAATGCACCAATTGGGCAATTCAATGGAATAATGTATCGGTCAGTAAAAAGCAACGAGAGACTGAAATGAACCCGAAAACTGATGCTAGCTAAATCCAAAGCGGGCCAGTTAGCTAGAACAAGGGGAAATGAGTACCTAGATGGGAACACTTAGGTACGAAAATAAGAACCCGGAAGCAAAAAGAAAAGCTCTAACTACGGTATAAAAGAACTATGACTCTACGGAGAAGGCAGTCAGATTCGCAGGTACGGCCGGCAATAATACCAATCGAGCGCAAAGAACAAAAATAATCCGTTCGACGGAAAGTTCAACACAGTGAACATGAATCCTTGTTTCGCGTTTCACGGAGATTCCGTTTAAGGACCAAAGAAAAAAAAAAAATGGGGTCCAAAGTTTCAAAAGCGGAAGGCAACACTGCCAACGTTATAAACAATGTGGAAGTGATAGATCACAAAGACGAAATCGTGAAAGTCTTTAATGTCTTGTGCCTAATTGCCTTATAGTCCTCCGAGGACTCCGAATGTACAAGAAAACCGTACAACGCCGTCGGGATCATGGACACGAACTAGAGAGGATCGTAGCCGCCGCCTCTAACTGGCCCGAAAGAAGCCGGGATTAAGTGCAGAAAAAAAAAAGGAAAAAATGAATTAAATCAAATCATTGACAGCCACTGCAATGAAAAACTACAACAAAGGCAGCAACGCTAACAATAAAATAAATTAAAACAAATAATTATCAGTAACAGAACAGAAAACCCAAAACAAAATCAGCCACCACACAAACGTGCATGTGTAATAAGAAGCTCATTGAGAAGTTCCCGCAGTAAAGTTCACCTGGATGACCGAGTGCCGCTTCTTTCATTCCCTCCATATTTTCATAGTTTTTTTTTTTTTCATTATTTTTCTGTTCAGTGTTTTATAAGAAATGAAAATTAATAGTTACGCGAAAAACGCAATGTTCAATATATATATTACCCAAAAAAATATTATTTTTAAGTGCACTAATACACCTACATATACATATATATATACTCCCAATTTAATAATTATTTAAAGCCCAAAGCATCCGGAGCGTCGAGATCTCATCGCCAGGACATCAATAAGTAAGTTTCTATATTTGTTTTCCTCTAAATCTATATATATATATATGTACAACTTCACCATGATCACAACACAGACGATGTTAACTACTTGAATAGTCATAAATTAACAACTATTATTAATCTGTCTCCGTCAGGAAACAGCCACGAAAATGAGGGACACGGTGTGGATGTATAGAGTGTAAAATTTCAACTGCCTTCACTGGCTTTAATGAACTTCTCATCTGCATGGAGCTTTGCCGAGCTCAGCGGCTGCGTGTGCAAATACAAGAGAGGAAAGCTTAACATAAGTTCTGATCTTAACATTATGTGTTTACATTCTTTTACTTCATTGCTTACAATTTTATTCATTTCATGATTTAATCTAATGTTTATCTAATACCGCGAAATGACTTAACACCGCCCACATTGAAAGTCTCCAGACTTCAAATCAGTTAATAGGGAGCGGAGCTAGTCGATGAATGGCTCGTTTGACATGATTGTTTTTCGTTTTGACCTCTGCCACTCGAACCTTTCCATCCGATCCTGGAAATACTTTAGTGACGACGCCTAGCAGCCACGCTTGCGACGGAATGTTGTCCTCTTGAATTAATACGATAGTGCCTTCCACGAGGTTGTGCTGATCTTTGGTCCACTTCTGCTTCTGTTGAAGGCTGAGAAGGTACTCTCTCAACCAGCTGGTCCAAAAGCGCTCCTTGATGGCGGACACGAGCCGCCATCTGCTCAAGTAAGAGAGCTTGTCGTCGTTGACTCGTTGCACGGACACGGGTGGCAGCGCACCTAGCGTTCGACCAGCTAGTAGATGTGCTGGGGTTATGGCTTGAATGTCGTTCGGATTGGTGGTGACGGCTACTATTGGCCTGGTGTTCAGTATAGCTTCCACTTCCACGACGATTGTGTCGAGCTCGTCCTTGCTCAACAAAGCGCTGCCGATGGCCCGAATGAGAAGATGCTTGGCGACCTTCACTGCTGCTTCCCACAAGCCACCGAAGTGGGGGGCTCGAGGGGGAATGAAGACGAACTCTGTCCCGTGCGTTGCAGCATGTTCTACCATTGCGCAGCTGTGAGCAGTGAAAGCCTTGACAAGATCTTGAAGTTCGCGAGCTGCTCCGACAAAATTCGTTGCATTGTCGCTGTATAGCCGAGCAACAGGCCCTCGTCGTCCTATGAATCTGGAGAGACACATAATGAAAGAGTTAGAAGTCAAATCTGTGACAACGTCCAAGTGCACAGCCTTGGTGATAAAACACACAAAGACTGCAATATACATTTTCACAGGTGGCTTGCCGCGCAACTTTAGCGAAACCTTAACTGGACCACAGAAGTCCACACCACTGACTTCAAACGGAAATTGTCCGTTTAATCTATCAGCTGGTAGATTTCCCATGACTTGTGACAGTAATCGAGGTTTATATCTGAAGCAATGCGTACCTGACGTGCCTGACGATCGTGTTGCATAACTGACGTGCATTGACGAGCCAGATTTGTTGCTGAAGTAAACCGACAAGTATGCGTGGGCCTGCGTGATGGTTGGACCTGTGAAGATGTTCTACGAATAGTTTAGCAAATTTACACGATTTTGGTAATAAAAGGGGGTGCTTTGCATCGTATGGCAGTGGCGCGTTTAACAAACGACCACCGACCCGTAGAAGAGGAAGGTTTCGTTGTGCATCTTGATGCTTCCAAATAAATGGAGTTAGCTTTTGCAAGGATGGTTTAAGTATTTCCGATTTTTCTATCTTGCGAAACTCCTCAGCAAATTCGAATTGCTGTGTGCTGTGTATTATTGTGAGAAAGGCATGTCTTAATTCTTGGGCCGTGATAACAACTGATGTATACTGCTCAGCTCTGCGCCCTCGAACGAATCTTAGTATGTACGCGACAATTCTCAAGATTTTCAGATAGCTTGACTGAGTTTCAAGTAAGGCAAGAATCTCGTCAGGTTGATGATTGATTGCTACTAAGACCGCTGCCGAGGAACGTTTTTCTAGTCGTTTTTCAACCTCTGAAAGCGTAAAATGTGGATTTTGAGGCCAAAGTTCAATTTTTTCACTTAGGAATGATGGGCCACTGAACCACAAGGAATCATTCAGCTCTGTAATTGCGCATCCGCGAGACACAAGATCTGCTGGATTTTCTTTAGTTGGCACGTGGCGCCATTGCACTTCCGCCGCCATTTCTTGTATATCAGCAACTCTGTTTGCAACAAATACATTTAAGGTGGACGAATGCTGTTCTAACCAGTGTAAAACTACTTCGGAGTCAGACCAAAAGAAAATACGCTCTACAGCGAAATCCAAATCTTCTCTTACGGTTTGCCATAGTTTTGCCAACAAATGTGCGGCGCATAACTCCAGCCTTGGGATTGTTTTTGTTTTTAATGGCGCAACCCTTGACTTCGCAGTGACAAGCCGGACTGAGATTCCATTGGGCGTAACAACACGCGCATACAAACAGCAGCCAAATGCCCGTGCCGAAGCGTCTGCGAATCCATGGATCTGGGTCGACCCTTTGTTAGTAACTCCAATATGTCGGGGTATAGACACTTTATCCAATTCAAGAAAACAGGAGGCCATTGATTCCCAACTTCGACGGAAGTCTTCCGGAAGTGGATCGTCCCACCCGAGTTTACACAACCAAAGTTGTTGTATAAGGATTTTAGCTTTCGTTGTTATTGGGCTTAGTAAACCAAGAGGGTCATACAGGCGTGCTGAGAAAGATAAAATAGATCGCTTTGTGAGAACTTCGGTTGGACTTACAGCTGAGAAAGAATATTTAAAAATATCTGTATTGGGGCTCCATATTAGACCTAATGTTTTAGTGTCATCTTGGTCGCCAAGAATAATAGTTGTTGACGAGTTAATATTTTCCGAGGCAACATTGTACGACCATTTCGCCAAAGACAGACCTGCTGAACTTAAAATGTGTTCCAGTTCTTGGCGCATAAGCTGAAGCTCTTCTACCGTCTCAGCTCCAGCTAGTAAGTCGTCTACATAAAAGTTTTTAGACAGAGCTTCGGCACCGCGAGGGTGAGAGCTAGCGTACAAATTACTAAGGTATTGAAGACATCTGACGGCTAGGTAGGGCGCTGATGCCGTCCCATATGTAATCGTATTTAGTCTATATGCTTGCACAGGTTCTGTTGGACTTTCTCTCCATACGATCATCTGGTATTGACGCTGACTCTCATCAATCTCGAATTGCCGGTACATTTTTGTTATGTCTGCAGATATTGCATATGCAAGAGAGAAGAGAGATGATTGAATTGTTGGCCCAACCATAAGCAAATCATTTAAAGATAGCTGGGTTGACGACTTACACGATGCGTCAAAAACAACGCGTAATTTTGTTGTCGAACTTTGCGGTCTCAGTACACACTGGTGCGGTATAAAATAGTGTGGTTCACTGGGAATACCACTGTCGGCTAGTGACATGTGCCCTAAGGCTAAATACTCCTTCATGAATGCAACGTACAAAGCTTGGACCTCAGGTTGTTTTTGAATCCTTCGCTCTAAAGACAAGAATCTTCGTTTGGCAGTTTCGAAGGAATTGCCCAAGGTCGCAGGGCTCGATTTGAAGGGTAAAGAAACTCTTAGCCGACCCGAGGGTAATCTTGTAACGGTTTGATTGAATAATTTCTCGCAAAGCTGTTGTTCTGGGGTATATCGTTTTGTTGATGCGACGTTAGGAATTTCCTCAAGCTCCCAGAACTTCTGCACACTGACATCGAGGGATTGCTCTTGGAGCGTGGTTAAATGACAGCTAGAGTCTTTTGGCTGACTAGTCAGGGATTTATATCGACCTGATACAACCCACCCAAACACAGTGTTTTGCAATGACAGTTTATCACTGGCTCCCTTTATGTGGCCTTCAGCTAGCAAGTCAAAGAATGCATCTGCACCCAATAGTAAATCTACCTTTTGGGGTTTGTAAAATAATGGATCAGCTAGCGAAAGGTGCTGTGGAATGCCTAACTCCGAGTTCCGAATTGCCTTTTCTGGTTGATATGACGAAATGGATGGCAAAACGCATAATTCTGCTGACATCTGGAAATTGCTGGTGCGAGAGCATATTAAGGTTTGTACACAGGTTTCAGTTAAGGAGTTTGACTTCCCTATTCCAAACAATCGGATCGGCTTTCTAATGCGGTGCAGTTTCAGAGTGTTGGCTAAACTTTCAGTTATGAAATTGACCTGGGATCCTGAGTCCAATAAAACTCGAGCAACTTGATACTCCCCAAGGCGTCCTTTTATTTTAACTAAGGCTGTGGCTAACACTACCTGTCCTGCGTTTACTGACCGGGCATGATTCACAGCCACATCAGGAACATGGTTCGAACTCGTTGCGGTACCTAAAGTCGGTTGTGGTGCGATAGACTGAGTCGAAGTGGAAATATAACGATGCAGCAAACTATTGTGCGGCTTATTACAGACTCGGCAATGTGATAAATTGCAAGATGAAACGTTATGCCCTCGTTTAAGGCAGTTAATACAAAGTCGCGAGCCCTTGGCGAATCTAAAGCGGTTGGCAACCGAAAGCGCAGTAAATGAGGAACAGGCAGTTATCACGTGCTCCTGCGACTTGCAAAACACACACTGCTCCATTTGATTGACTGCTAATAATGTAGTACCACTCTTCTTTGGTCGGTTATCTCGATAAGCCTTATTGGTTTTCCCTTTATTCGATGAAGATTCTTCAACTGACAAATGTTGATACCGCTTATTCATCTCATCTTCACAATCTTTCCATGTGGGAATTTTAGAGTAATCAAGCCCCTCTTCCCATCTAGCTCGCGTTCCTGCGTCTACCTTTGACATGACTATATGGATCAACATGACGTTATCAATTTTACTGTCGTCACCAACAGACAACAATGATTCATTGCATTCATAGCATTGTCAATCAAAGTTCTCAACGATGAAGCAGACGGACTGGGTATGCAAGATAAATCAAATAGCCTTGAAACACCTTCAAAAAATATTAAGCACTCATTATCATATACACGTTTTAACGCAGCGAGAGCCTTTGTATAATTACTATCCGTTACCTGGAATGCCTTTACCAAGCAAATGATTGAATTTCTCTACGTTTGATAGTTGATCATCATCATGCACAAGAGTTTCGAACAACCCAATAAAGTTTTTGTACTCTGAATAGACTCCACTAAATTTTGGCAGCTTCATTTGCGGTAGCTGTCTATGATGTCCACCAGTTGTATTTAGTGTGTTGTCTTTAAAATCTTGTGGTTGATGTGAGCTTCTAAGAGATTGAAGAAGAGCCCGAGTAGTAACACATAAATCTTCCAGCTCTTCACTGGATGCCAACTCCGGATTAATTTTGTCTAATGACCACTGTATATTAAATGCCTTTTCCACGTAAGCGTTTAGTACATCTAGTCGACACTCTATCTGTAGTGGGTCTTTTACTAGAGTTCCTTGAGTGATTGATACTTTAATTCGCGTTATCTTGGTGACAAGAATGTCTCGCTGTTGAAGAAGTTCCAATTCATCGTCATCTTGTACAAAGGAAGAGTTATTACCACTTCGTTTTTTAGGAGGCATGGTAAATGTGAAAACGACAAACTTATTGAACTACTCTCGTAATGCTCAATACATATGAGCCGGCCACAGAACTGTACTACTTCTAACTAACGAGTTTACCGCTCTTAAAGAGGAATTGAAGATAACCGTTTCGGACTGGTACATGTGTGTGTAGACATGTGCTCCGCCAATTATATACAGCTATGCAACTGTGTACGGGTATTTTTCCACCAAAATTTCACTTATATGCCAAAATTTAAATGAACAAGTTTAATGTTTATTATAATAAGCAACAGAATGTTATTTGCTCAAATAACACTGCAATATGTTACCTGGTATTGAGTACTGGCGAGCTGCCGTGTGCAGTTACAGAAACCCATGTGTTTCACTTGTTTGAAACTATGTATTATGTTAATTCCAATTAACAACTCTAATCCAAAATCCAAGGAATCCGTGTGTCCACCCGGGGGCGCCAAAATGAATAGTCATAAATTAACAACTATTACACAGGTCAACAAAATGGACTTTATTAAAAGGTGCAGGCCTATTGGCATTAAAATATGTTAATATAGACGTATATAAGCATATCTGCATACTTAGTTTTCGAGTTTAACGGGTGGTATTTGTGCAATCGGGGTTTAAAAAAAAGAGCAACATTTAATTTTTAGATTTAAGATATCTTCGAGGGTCTGTGCTCAGTTGTAATAATGCCTATTCCAAAAAATTGCTTACATGCCCTTCTACATAATTGCATTTAAGGTTCCATCATAATTTGAGTCAATCAAAGCCTATAAGCCATTGAAGTAATTTGTTCACCTCTATTCCCAACAAACTTGATGCGGTGAACAGGCATAAAAAAATACAAGGAAAAATATGTGCCCTAAAATATTTTACATGCATCTAGAGGCGACTTTCATCGAATTTTTAAGACAAATAAGACCATTGTACGTCGAAGGATAGAATTTATAGAATTTTTTCCGTAAGAAAGTTAAAAGTCACAAGTATTTTTAAATCCCCATTTTACATAAATATCTGACACATTCATAAAAATTTGCCTTTCAATTTGGTTAGCAGTAGGCGCCGAACATCGAAAAATTGTATTTTCAAGGGGTTAGTATGCCTGTTAAAAATC